ACCGCCGCAATCTCCATCGAAAATAACTCCAGAAAAGCAAAAAAGAGAGGAAGGCGTGAAATTTTCCAGTGGCAAAAAAGAGGTGAAACAGGAGGCAGATCGGTATCTACCACAAATATGTGTTGATCCCAAACCGAGGTTGGTTCCACCACTTTATTTTTTCCATAATTGATAACAGTGAGTGTTACCGAAAATGTTTTAGTTATGATATTCAATTGTGTTCTTACGTACACGGCTAAATTTCTATCCAGTGTCGCTGATTTATAATTATGTTTTCATTGATTTCAGTGCATTGATTTGTTTCATCCATTCATTTCTTCCTATGATTTCAGTGAATGTTCATTAGTGAACAGTAACGAAATGATTATGAAACTATCGAGATTCGTGTCAGATATTGAAGAATTGTTCAGACTTCTAAGCAATGTGGATGATGAGATGAAAAGAGAAAAAGTAGATTGGAGTCAACGAATTGTCGAAGTTATTCTTTTACTGTATCCGTTTTCTTTTATTATTTGTTATAAATGAACAGTAGATGAAATTATTATTCTTGTGTAAATACTGTTGTGTGATCCATAAAAATTACTCGCTGCACTGAATTGGAAACTGAGTTTATCGTTGATATGATTACATACTCCATCAAAATTCGCACTTGAATACTTTGTTTCGTCACTTTGCAGGACTATTTATTGGGACATTCCGAGTTTTCGCATATATCGGAGCTTATTCTGTGGGAAATTTTGTTGATCCGTAAAGAAGACTATGGTTTCTATCTTAATCCTGTGATCAGGTTTGATTTTTTTACGATTTTTTCCCAGTAAAAACATTCTTTTCTCATTGAAACAATTTTTTTGCATGGTTATTCTTTTATTTCATCGGCTTCTTTTTGTATTTTTGATCTCTCATTATAGTTATTTTTCGATATTGTTTGTTCAAATGATTCTAAGTTGTTGTCATTGTTTTTTTTTTCAGAGAATATTTGAATAAAATCAAAGTTTTGAAATATATGGATGGTAAAGTTCATGTGGAAATAAATCAACTTGCCGACCAGATAGCCGGTGTGAGTTTAAGTCAACTCGATTTTAATATGTACCGTTGTTGATGTTCAATTATTGTTGATGAATTAATGAAAGAGTGTTATTATTCGATTCATTTTTACGTTTTTTAAATACCTTTCGTTGGGAGTAATCGAATGAATTCCTGAGAATTTGAATGTTTATGTACGTGGGCATTGTAGATGAGAACTTCTGCGCTGATTCGTTGTGTAATATCGTATTGCACGTTGTGATTATTGTTGTTGATTTTGGATGTGTTCGTTGTTATTTTGGCAGTGTGTTTTCTTTAGGTTTAATGAAGTGAAAATAATTTTAATAAGTTATTTTCAGTTATGGCGAAATTCAAATAATCTCACGAAATTGGCTGAATTATGGAAGATTTTGATGAGTGACGAATTGCGTAATGTATTTATAATTGAAGCAATACCGAACAATAACGGTTTGAATTATTAACTTGAATTTGAATGTTCAACAGTAGGATAATTCAAAGGAATAAATCGCAAAACGATCACAACTTTTTAGTGTTCATTTTTTGCGAAGGATTTTTGTTGCTAGTGAACAAACGGTCCTAATCAACCGCTAAAGCTTTTGTTCTTAAACTTTCAGGTAAGATCGAAACATGGGTAAGGTTGAATCGCTGTTTGAATATGTCCAATTTGTTCACAGTGCAAACTGCACGTGACAGAAGTTGAGTGTGGAGAATAAAGAAAATTCAATTGGACAGTTTCTGATTGAAACGATTAAAGCGAGCTGTTTACTTCAATGAGCCTTAAGGGCTCTTTAATGTTTTTTGTCTCGATGTGGACTGCTTGTCTTTTTTTGTAGCTATACAATCCAAGCAGATCAGACGTCTGAATTTTTTATTTGCACGAAATTTTCATCGAGAATCAGTCGGAAAGTTTCGTTTTTATTTGTTATCTATATGACTTTGTGATTTTTTTCTATATTTCTCATATGTGAAAATGCACATTCGCTGCAAACGTTTTCTAACAGTAAGATTTGCATTATGTTGTTATGAGTTGAATTCATTTTCTAATGAGTTCATTATTCGAAATTATTTTCCTGTATCTGTTTTGCCATTTGGAATGGAATTACTAATAGCTTTATTATTTTACCAGTAATTTTTCGTATATAATATATTTATTATGTTTTTCATTGATTCACGTTGAAATTTCTGAAGGAATTTTAATAATATGTGAGCATATCTTTTCTTTTCTTTCTTAATTCACTTATAATTGTTGTCTTCATAAATCATCGCTCACTCTGCGTATAAATTGATGATTTTTTTGTTTGTTTTAAGCATCATGATTCCATCTATATTTACAATATTGCTTTACTTCCTTGTCGTTTTTGTCTTATTCGTCAGAAAAATATTGCGTTGAATTTGTCGAATGTTGAAGATTGTGCCATTGTTATTTGTTTTGATTACCTTTCAAAGAATGTTCTTGCTTTAGAATGCACTGGTTAATGTAATTGCCATCTTCGAACTCTCTCATAAGTTTGTGAGTTCGCTTCTTGAACATAGACGAGGATATTGTACATTTATTGGCGATGGAGATTCGTTGCTTTTTTTGAATTTGTTTTCACTGATTGTGAGTAAATTTTGTTTGTGAGCGCCTGTAATAATAAGTCGAATGTACTTATGATTTCAGTGCATTCTGTTGTACTATTTAGTGATTATGCTCTTTTCGACATATTTTGTTAAGTAATTTCAAGTTTTCTAATGAGCTTTATTGCCTTATATCACTGTATTGAGCAGTTGTTGTAATTTATATTCAGCATCTTCTAGGATATTCGTTTTATTCGTTCAAATTTCTTGTTTTGTATGCACTTATCAA